ATAACACCAATAGCTTCTTAGTTCATATTACATGTCATGGTTACATTTCATTATTTATCCACAGCACACAAACCATGAGCTTCAATACAGGTCCATATTGGTTACTTCAAAACTATCCCTGATAAAGACAAGAATAAGAATTGTTTGTAATAAACTTGAAAGAAGTAGATACGTTTTACTTCATGTTTATTAGAAATATATAATATTGAATAGAAATGTGTTAATAGTTAACTGCATAACACAAGTGTTATTAGTCAACAAACGCATACTTTGTTGGTCTTTATTAAAGTACTTCTGTATATAAATACTTGTACATGCTACAGAAGGGAAACAGGGAGCCAGAGAATCTCCTCTTCTTCTCTCCTCTGCTTCATGATCTCACTGCATCCTCACAAAGTCACAACATGATGTAAAACTAATGAAACCTTTACACCAAAGAACCCTTAAATAGTCTTGAGATCAAGTCACACATTGAGGAGATGTTCCTTCATAGATACAGCTGTAAATATCAGCAGAAAGGTTACTGAGGAAAACACAGACTCTCCACACTGCGAGTGTTTCAGGTGAGAGTCACTTTTTAAAAACACAAGGTCAAATCAATCAGATCTTCTGCACTTTAAAGGGTTCTGCTGATGTTCAGGTGTATGTAACATTGCTCTGTAACACTCAACACACGATCACATGATGTATGGAGAAGGTTCTTTTCAATGAGGAGTAAAACATAGAAGGAACACAATCTGAAGTTGTGTAATTGATACGGTTTTTACTCAGTCCTCACACACCACCTCGAGGTACCGATAAACTCCCTTCTTTCTATACTACCTCCATTCATCAATTTTACACCATTTAACTTTCCCCTGTTAGTTTCTCCCTTTAGACTTTGATCACAGACCTTAATGAACACACCTCTGAAACCTTGGGATTCAATACCCGTAAAGCACTGCTGCCGTATTTCAGATCAATCGATCACGGCGACCTCCAATATGGACAGCAGTTTATCACCAGACTCACCTGAAAGCTTTCCTCTCTGTTAGTGATCTTTCTATAACAGCGCTCTATAAGAGTCATGTATTATTATTAGGGCTGTCAAGTTAACGCGTTAATAAAAAAAATTAACGCCACTAATTATTTTAACGCGATTAACGCATGTGTATTTTTTGTCCTCGGCCGCCCCGTAGTTTCAGAGCGCATCGAGTTTAAAACACCATCTACAAGCTGTTGCTGACAGCCCCGCTCCTGCCGCCCGCTTGTGGCAGACCACACTTCCACGCTCACCGGCAGGCCCGGACTGGCCATCGGGAGGACCGGGAGGGTGTGTGTATGTGTGGGGCGACTCGCGCGAGCGAGGCACACCTTACGTGTTGTTGTTGTTAGCATCTGGTGCTAGCTAGCTGCGCTAACGGATATAAGGAGCTGTTTCAATGACATTTCGCCGACAACTGCGCCGAGCACTTGACTTGATGCAGGTAGCCAGACAGTGGGACATTGTACGAAAAGTCAGCACACTCAGCACGGATAGTACGCGCTACATGATTGCAGCTCCCGTTCGAGCATATATGCCTTGAGCTGCACATACTGTAGCTCCAACGATCCATCACAGTGTACACACACACACACACACACACACACACGCACACGCACACGCACACGCACACGCACACGCACACGCACACGCACACGCACACACACACACACACTTTGTATGCTATGTTAATGTTCAGAGGTTGTTGTGTTTAATATTCATGAGAATATTTGTCATTGTTCAAATGATAATAAACAAACATATAAAGCATATTTGTCCACTCATATGTTGATAAGAGTATTAAAAACTTGAAAAATATCCCTCTAAGGTACATTTAGAACAGATAAAAAATGTGCGATTAATTTGCGATTAATCGCGATTAAATATTTTAATCGACTGACAGCCCTAATTATTATTATAAAGTTTAAAGGTGATGCAGCTAGTTCAGCAGGTTCTGACCCAGTTGCTGAAAGACTCCAGCTGCACATGTTCAAGTGACATGCTTCAATCACTTTGAGCACACCATCACTAGAGACCTGATCTAAGGGGTAACACTCTGATCTCTCTCTCTCTCTCTCTCTCTCTCTCTCTCTCTCTCTCTCTCTCTCTCTCTCTCTCTCTCTCTCTCTCCCCCTCTTTTCTTGATGACAAAAAACGGTATCGCCTCAAGAAACACATCACTGCAGGAAAGCTTTAAGCACCAAGACCAAAGACACCGGGTGCAGGAGCAGCTATTTTATTCTCCCCGCTTTGAAATATAAAGATAATATCCAGCACAGAGGAAGTGAAGGGTAGAGTTATTCTAGTGAGAGCTGGAATAGATGAGTTTCTGATTAGCTTTATTAATGTGCACCAAACCAAGGCTCTGAGCGTGAAGACATCTTTAAAGTATTGGAAGAGAGAATAAGTGATATTGGTCAAGGGGAGTTTATTGTTTTGGGTGGAGACTGGAATTGTTGCACTGACTTGACTTTGGATAGGACTGGAGTTGAGCCACATCTTCAGTCTTCCTCTGTATTGTCTCATGTTCTAAAGAAAAGTGATTTAGTGGATGTGTGGAGGATGATGCATCCTACATGCAAGCAATACACATGGGTTCAAATATCACATGGTAGAGTTAGTGCAGCCAGAGTGGACAGGTTTGATTTACCCAAGGCCTTTTCTGCTAGGGTTACAAACTGTCAGATCATCCCTGTGGCTTTCACAGACCATCATCTAGTTTTGATGGAGCTGATCTTATCTTCCAACGGAAAACCCAGATCTTTTTGGCATTTTAATAATAGATTATTACAGGATTTGAATTTCTGTGAACATTTTAAAATGTGTTGGGCTTACTGGAGATCTAGGAAAGATGGTTTGTCTTCCCTTACTCAGTGGTGGGAGGTAGGAAAAGCCCAAATGAAGGTTTTCTGTCAACAATACACCTCCTATTCAACAGCCAACATTAAGAGAGTAGTGGAGAATTTAGAAAAAGAGATAACAGACTTGGAAAGTGTCTCACATGCTGATCCGCAGAATAATGCCAGCTTAAAAGAAAAAAGACAGGAGCTTAACTCCTTTATGCAAGAAAGAGCCAAAGGCGCTTTAGTCCGAGCCCGTTTCACCAAACTCCAGGACATAGACGCACCCACTGCCTTCTTTTTCAGTTTGGAAAAATCAGTGGTAAAGAGAAAACAGATGTTGTGTCTGCGGCTTCCTGAGGGAAAGGTGACCACGGAGCCGGCTGAGATGAGGAAGCATGCAGAAGATTTCTACACGGATTTGTTCAAGGCTGATGAATGTGATGTGGACTCTGCTGCAGAGCTTCTGGAGGGACTTCCTCATCTGAGCTCAGAGGGACAGAACACGCTCAGCTCTGTGATGTGGACTCTGCTGCAGAGCTTCTGGAGGGACTTCCTCATCTGAGCTCAGAGGGACAGAACACGCTCAGCTCTGAACTGACTCATGACGAACTAACTGCCGCTGTGTCTCAGATGGCGTCAGGAAAGGCTCCTGGAATAGATGGATTATCATCAGACTTTTTTTTTTTGCAGGGCTGGACAGATGTTGTTCAGAGTGTGAAGGGTTTGGTGGCTGATCGGCTAAAAGTAGAACATGCCTTTTACAGTGTGACCAACAACCTGCCTGCTTTCAGGACTCTTTGGGGGGTCAATCACATTCTATGTAAGGCAAGGGAAGATGGTACACTGGAGCTGAATTTTTTTAAATGTGGTTTTCTATGTGTGAGCTATGATATGAAGATTTAAAAAAAAAAAGTGTCATGAATGTGATGATTTTGTAAGTTTTTATTTAAAATGACTTAAATAAAGGTTTTATTAAATCTCTCTCTCTCTCTCTCTCTCTCTCTCAATACCATAAATAAAATGTTACCTCTCATTTATCATATATGAAGATCTTAGATCTTAGATCTTAAAATGATTTAACAAACGCCTGCTTGAGACTCCTCAGTGCACACAAAAACATAACTTGGAGAAATAAATAAATACTGATATGTTATTTAAGAGCACCTCGTGTGTACCATGTTGTCTTAATGTTATGACTTGTATTCTCATAAATGATGCGGTAAGCAGAAGGACAGAATTACGTCTCAACTGAGGCCGTTTTGCTTTTCTATAGGTAGTATAAATAAGAGCATGGTTTTATATACTATCATGTTTAATCATGTTTTATGCCGTTTGCCAAGACTTGATAAGTCGCTCGTAAAACACAGGTATGCAAAGTAAGAGAACACCATGTTGGTGAATTGTACAGAAACATTAGTTTGATTTCATTTAAGTGGTGGATAGAGTTGCTGCGGGGGATTGAGACGCACAGGCTGCAGTGGAGACGCAGCGCACAGCTGATTGACAGCTGGAACACAAACCACCAGATAGGTCTCCTGTCCCCGGTACAAACACACTGACACACTGACCGAGGAAGGTTATGTGTATTTTGTCATTAACTTTTTTCGGACCACTTATTTATTTATTTTGGTGACGATCCGACCTCCATGCTGCCACTCTGGTTCAAACTGCATCCACCAAACAATGTGATTTATCTCCACCTCCCCAAAAGAACCAAAATCTGACTCGGTGTGAGATGTCTTTTTTAGCTGTTCTGTCGTCATTCCCTGCGATCTTCTTCTGCAGTCAGTCAGAATGAATATTAATACGGGGCGTTTCTTTGACTATTTATAGGCAAATATGGGCGTTACGTGAAGCTCGCAAAAGCTGCGCCGCATTTCGAGTTGATTGTGATTTATAAAGGGAAACCGGCGTAGGACGTGCCGCACGCACAGCTTTATAAATGAGGCCCCTGGACCCACCTGAAGGCTTTACTCTCTGTTAGTGATCCTTTCTATAATAGCGCTATATAAGTGTCATGTATTATTATTATTATTATAGAGTTTAAAGGCGATGCATGCCAGTCATGTTTTAATGAATAAATACCACCTCCATCATCTTTGTCTTTAGAGAGAAGCTGACTGATCCACACTTACACTTCCTCACACCTGGTTTTAACCACTGCTCTCCACCATGGTCCAGCCTGGAGGAAGAAACACAGTCAGGATGATGTTCTATCCAACATGAGTCCTAGCTGCTGGTACCTCGTGGAACAGAGGTTACTTTCTTAGAGCAAGCTTTTTTATTCTAATTTACTTTTTGTTGGCGTTTAGTGTCAAACATTGTCACAGCATATTGTACATTGCATCTTTACATGAAGGACATACATCTGTTCATAGCTCTTTTCAGCAATATACACATGATGACACAAAAAGCACAGAGGAGAAAGACATAAAGAAAGAAATGAAAATAAAATAGAACAACAGTGAACAATTAGGGAGTAGACATTTCTTTACAGCAGAGTTCTGGATCTGTGGAAACTAAGTCAGGCCTTTAGGGCTTTACAAAGTGAGTCCACTTCTCACAGGTTGGAGTAAATTGACCAATGTATGATTGACAGATGCTGTTATCTTTTCTATATTATAAATAACCATTGAGATGTCCATCCATCCATTTAGAGTCGGGCTATGCTTCGATAACCACTTCCTGGTTAATGCCTTTTCAGCAGAATGTTCAATAAGTATTTGTCCTTTCTCAAATTCCTAAAGTATAACATCTTGATCTCTAGAGGTATTATGTCTTTGAAAATGTCTTGTAAGGCGTTGTGTATCTCCTTCCAGTAGTCTTTGATACCTGGACAGTCCCAGAATACATGGAAGTGGTTTGCATTCTGGTCACCACAGTTCCTCCAACATATAGGGGGGGTCCTATCATAGTGGGACTTCTGAGAGGGCGGAATAAAATATCCTATCAGGTTCTTCCAGGTATATTCCCTCCAGTTCTGCCAGCTGGTACATTTCCATTGATATCTCCACATTGTTACCCATTCTTCCCCAGATATATGTATCCCTCCTTCCTGCTCCATCTTCTTTATTATGTAAGTGAGTGTTTTTTAAGGTTTGTCAATCCTTTGTATACACATGATACGGTTCTACCGTTAACATCTGCGTTATACGCTTTCCTAAACATTTCTATCAAACCTACACTTGCCTCTGACACTTTTTCCACTTTCAAATGAACATAATGCCGTACCTGAAGATATCCATAAAAGTCCTGTTTCTCCAAAGTCTATTTCTCTTTGAGGGTATCCAAACTGAGCAATGCTCCCCCTTTCATCAGCTTGCACAGAGCTGTTAGACCTTTTAGAGCCCAGTCCCTAAATCTAGTATCCAATCTGTTAGGCATGAAATCTGAGTCATATGCACACCATTTGAGAAAGATACTATCATTCTCCAATTTATATTCTTTTATAATAGTTTTCCACATTTTAAGAGAACATTTCACCCATGGATTTTCAATAATGTTTATGAAATTGTGTAGGTTATTGTCAGCTATAATTGCCTGTATGGGAGTACACCTTCTGTTCTATATGTTTCCATTGAGCATCATATGCTGGGTTACTCCAGCATATCATTGTTCTTATCTGTGTTGTGAAATAGTAATCGCTGAGAGAGGGTAAACCCCATCCCCCTTCTTCTTTGGCCAGGTGTAAAGGTTTGAGACGAACCCTTGCTCTTTTACCTTGCCATATATATATATCTTGATATCATTTGATCTCATTCATTACATTGACTTTGGTTGATCTCTTTAGGTAGGGTTTGGAATAGATATAATAATCTAGGTAGTATATCTTTTTTAACCCATTCAATTCTTGAAGAAATATTAAAGAAAGGAATTAGGTTCCATCTTGCTATATCTTCCTTCATTATGTTCTCTACAGGTAGGAAATTGCATTTGAATAATGTTGAAAGATCTTTAGGGATGTTAATGCCCAAATACTTGATGGATTTTGTGTGCCATATCAATGGGTATGTATTCCTAATGTCTTCAGGTGGATGGGACTTGTCTCCTGAAGGAAGTTTCTCCCTGATATTCCTCCCTCGCTCCTCTCCTCCCAGCGTCTCCCAGGCGGACAGCTGCTCAGCCTCTCTCTCGGTGTGATCACGGTGACAGCAGTCCTGGCTTGCGTATAATATCGTCTTTGTCACGATCTGTCTGTGTTGTGTTTTGTCTTGTCTTTTTCTGTCTTTGGTTTCCTGTTTTATTTTGAAAAGTGTTCATCCCCTGTCTTGCCTGTTGCTTTCTGTCTGTTTTCCCTCCTACCTGATTACCCGATTGTGTTCACCTGGTGCCCCTGTGTTTTCTCCTCCCTCCTCACCTGTGTCTTGTTTGTGTGATTAGTCTTGTGTGTATTTTAGTTCTGGTTTTTCTGTCTGTCATTGTTAGTTCCTTGTTTGTCTTTGACTGTGTCACGGGGTAGTGTTCTGTTTTCTACTTTGTTACCTTGGATTAAAGGAATTATCTTGGAAATCTGCATGTGGGTCCTGCCTGCTTCACTCAACCCTGACAGAAGGAACTAACCAGAAATGGGCCCAGCAGATCCATTTGAGGTGGATTTACAAAATGTGACCTTTTCTTTGGCTAGCTGCTATGGTAGGTGGAGGGGAGCGTCCAGTGTTCAGCAGAGAGAGGCTGCTCTGGCAGAGGCTCACCAGGTGGCAACAGTGGATCCATATTTAGTTAAGTTCTTACCTGACTGGATTTTGGACTTCCTTTCGACATGTGATTCCCGGCCTGCTAGCCCCAGGCATGCTAGCCCCCTGCCTCCCAATTCCCAACCTGACACCATACATCTCGGTGTGTTCCGTCTGGAGTCAACCCCTGCTTCTTCCCCATTTCCTGCTCCGGTCCAGGAGCCGTTCTCGGGTACTCGTCTGGCTTTTGGAGGTCCACGGAGCCTCCAAAAGGCTCCTAAGAGAAGGAGTCGCAAGTCCAGGCTAGCAGCCCGAGCCCCAGCAGCCATGGTTCCGGCTCCAGTACCGGCCCACACAACCATGGTTGGAGGTCCCGCCGACTACTCTTCTGCCGGGGGTCTTGCCAATCCTATGTCCTGTCCCGTTGGGGGTCCCGCCGACTACTCTTCTGCCGGGGGTCCTGCCAACCCTATGTCCTGTCCCGTTGGAGGTCCCGCCGACTACTCTTCTGCCGGGGGTCCTGCCAACCCTATGTCCTGTGCCGTTGGAGGTCCCACCGACTACTCTCCTGCCGGGGGTCTTGCCAACCCTATGTCCTGTCCCGTTGGGGGTCCCGCCGGCTACTCTTCTGCCGGGGGTCCTGCCAACCCTATGTCCTGTGCCGTTGGGGGTTCCGCTGAGGGTCCTGCCAACTCCACGTCCAGTATCGTTGGGGGTCCTGCCGACACCTGTTCCGCTATGGGTCCTGCCAACCGCACGTCCCATTGGGGGTTCCGCCGACACCTGCTCCGCCGGGTTTCCTGCCAACACCAGATCCTGTCCTGTTGGGGGTCCCGCCAAAACCTGCTCCGCCGGATTTCCTGCCAACACCAGATCCTGTCCTGTTGGGGGTCCCGCCGACACCTGTCCCGCCGGGGGTCCTGCCAACTCTGTGTCCTGTCCTGTTGGAGGTCCCGCCGACACCTGTTCCACCGGGGGTCCTGCCAACTCTGTGTCCTGTTCCGTTGGGGGTCCAGTCGACACCAGCCCTTGCTCCATCCGGGGTCCCATTGACACCAGCCCATGTCATGTTCAGGATCCCGTCTACGCCTGTCCCGTCGGCTCCGGTTCCTGTCCGGCCGATACTGGGTCCTGCCCGGCCTCCGGAGCTGTCTCGTCAGCGCCTTCCTGCCCGGCCTCCGGAGCTGTCCCGTCAGCGCCTTCCTGTTCGCCCTCGAGCCCGGCCCCCTGAGTGCTGCGGTCTTCGTCCTCGAGTCCGGCCCCCTGAGTGCCGCGGCCTTCGCCCTCGAACCCGGCCCCCTGAGTTCCCCAGCCGCGGTCTTCGCCCTCGAGCCCGGTCGCCTGACTCTTCCAGCCGCTGCCTTCGCCCTCGAGCCCGGCCCCCTGAGTGCCGCGGCCTTCGCCCTCGAACCCGGCCCCCTGAGTTCCCCAGCCGCGGTCTTCGCCCTCGAGCCCGGCCTTCTGACTCTTCCAGCCGCTGCCTTCGCTCTCATGCCCGGCCCCCTGAGTTCGCCCGCTGTGGCCTTCGCCCGTTTTTGAACTCTGCCTTGCCCGCGGGCCGTCCGCCCGAGACCCCTTCCGGGTCCTCCGCTGTGCCCCTGGGCTGTCAGCCCAAACCCGTCCTCCAGACCCCCTCCACCCACCCTTTTGGCCCTAGTTATGTGTCCCTCCTCCGGTGTCCCTCCACGCACCCTGCTGGACTTTTTTGGGACGTCTGGGATCCGTCCCTTGAGGGGGGGGTACTGTCACGATCTGTCTGTGTTGTGTTTTGTCTTGTCTTTTTCTGTCTTTGGTTTCCTATTTTATTTTGAAAAGTGTTCACCCCCTGTCTTGCCTGTTGCTTTCTGTCTGTTTTCCCTCCTACCTGATTACCCGATTGTGTTCACTGGTGCCCCTGTGTTTTCTCCTCCCTCCTCACCTGTGTCTTGTTTGTGTGATTAGTCTTGTGTGTATTTTAGTTCTGGTTTTTCTGTCTGTCATTGTTAGTTCCTTGTTTGTCTTTGACTGTGTCACGGGGTAGTGTTCTGTTTTCTACTTTGTTACCTTGGATTAAAGGAATTATCTTGGAAATCTGCATTTGGGTCCTGCCTGCTTCACTCAACCCTGACAGTCTTTAGTTGATTATCGGAGAAACTTGATCATTCTTGACGCGGCTTGTCCTCCCTGTCTCCGGAGGCCCTCGGTACGAGCGCCCGGTGCGCTCTTTCAATGCCGAGCTCCATGGCGGGGGGGATCTCAAGTGCCTCTTGTAGTAAACTCGTCACAAAGTCAACCATAGATGACCCCTCCGCTCCATCTGGGACATTATAAATCCTTATATTCTCCCGTCGGGATCTTCCTTCTTGGTCAGTCAGTTTATTTTCTTGCTGATTCATTACCTTTATCATCCTGCTCAGCACCTTCCACGTTTTCAATTCTCATTTCTGCCTCCTCTATTTTAACGTTGACGTTGGTAAGCTCGGATTTAATTTAGTTTAATTGTTGTCTGTGTCTTTGCGAAAGTCCCGTATCTCCTCCACAGTGGCGAGCCGTCAGGGCCCTCTAGGCCCTCTGTGAGGGCCTAAGATATTCTAAAAAATAATATTTAAAAACATTTAAAAAATATATATATGTTTTAAATATATATTTTTTTAATATTATTTTTGTTATATTTTTCATTAGTTTTACCGAAAAAAAAACTTGATTTAATTGTATTTAAAATAACATTTCCAAAGAAATAAATCCTTCGAATCTGCCTGTTCAGTCTCTGTTTGAATGTGAAGGGTTACATGAAAGAAGCTCGTCTGGCCCTCTCTGCGATTCACAGAGGGTTGCTATAGTAACTGAACGAGAGAGTAATGTCAAATGACAGTACAATTGACCAATCATATCTTCCCTCTAAATGGGTGGGTTTTATTATCGCGGACTTTATGACAAGTTCCGTCCGCTGTGAAACTTTTCTTGTTTCCATAGCAACAACAACATCCTGTCAACAGCGTGAACTCGCCTTCAAAATAAAAGCATGCCAAATTACACTTAAGACATACAACTGCAACGAAAGTAACAAACACAATGCAATATCCTTTTCAATGTCAAAGAACACAAATTGGGTTCACAGGTGTTGTTTTGTGTGGTAGAGGGTCGCTGTCTTTGATGCGTTTTGCACCCTGGGCCGTTGTTTTGATATTCCGCTGAAGTATACGCTGTGACGTAATAACTATTTTTTTTTCTTTTTTTTTCAAGGGAATTGGTGGGGGTCAGAGGGCCTAGGTATAAAGCTCACGGCTCGCCACTGCTCCTCCAGAACTTTAGCTAAGCTAGCCACGTGCGGCTCTGCGCTAGCTTCCTCATCATCGACCTGTGCAGGCGAGTTGTTCGTTGTATTTTCTTCGTTGGTAGACTCTGAGCCAATGTTTTTCTTTTGTCCGTCCTTTCTTCCCATCTTCGCCCCGTTAACTATTTCTAATTTTACAGAGACATTTCTTATTTGGCAATTAAACGAGGCGAAATTAATCTCTTACTGGGGGAGAAGCTAGACTAGGCTGCCATTCGGTATGGTGATGTCACCGGAACCATGACCATCATTTTCAAGTCAATAAAATTATCTGAATTCATATCGGGAGTCTTAGTCGTTAGTTTGTTTATCATGTAGCTGTGTAATAAGTGGGATAATGTGCAGTGATGTGCATCCCGTACACATTCAACTGCTAACAGCTACCTGCTAACAGCTACCTGCTAACAGCTACCTGCTTACAGTCAACGGCTAACAGCTAACGGCTTAGTTTACCAGCTCTCCTCCTGCTGATATCAACGTGAATTTGATGTTCATGATGGCATTATGAGGAGAAAAAAGGATGCGCACCTGGACGTGTCGATCATAAGTTTACGTAATAAAGAATCACAAAAAGTCAATCTCGGTTTCCCATCAGTGACTAGGTAATATGCTGATCATCGGCCAAAGCAGGCCAGTAAATAATCAAGATACAATTATAACACATAATGTGAGTTTAGGTCTGTTAGCCGTTACCCGAACACAGTCAGAACTATCCAAACTGAACCGCTGGTGATCACTTGCGTCTCTTAAAGAGTAGAGTGGACTCAGCCGTCAATGAGGGTGTAAAAACTCAATTAAATATAATTTCAATAACTGTGTCATAAATGAGAGGAAGAACATGACATTTGAGATATTAGAGACACGTTCAGTCTGTCTGTCCATACCTGAGTGTCTCCAGTCTCCAGAGTGGATCCTCACGTCCAGCAGACAGCAGCTTCTCTCCTGAGTCTCCTGGATGATTGTAGCTCAGGTCCAGCTCTCTCAGATGGGAGGGGTTGGAGCTCAGAGCTGAAGCCAGAGAGACACAGCCTTCCTCTGTAACCATACAGCCTGAGAGACTGGAACCAGGGAATACAGTAAACTCAGTGTTTTGATTATGTCAGCATGAAGATACAGATGTTGACCAACTTTATTAACATGAACCTGAAGCTGGATGAGCAGGTTTTAAAGTAAAACTATCAACAACAAAAAAACCTGTGCTCTGACCTGAGAGTCTCCAGTTCACAGTGTGGACTCTCCAGTCCAGCACACAGCCGCTTCACTCCTGAATCCTGCAGGTCGTTGTTACTCAGGTCCAGCTCTCTCAGATGGGAGGGGTTGGAGCTCAGAGCTGAAGCCAGAGAGACACAGCCTTCCTCTGTGACCATACAGCCTGAGAGACTGGAACCAGGGAATAAAGTAAACTCAGTGTTTTGATTATGTCAGCATGAAGATACAGATGTTGACCAACTTTATTAACATGAACCTGAAGCTGGATGAGCAGGTTTTAAATTAAAACTATCAACAACAAAAAAACCTGTGCTCTGACCTGAGAGTCTCCAGTTCACAGTGTGGACTCTCCAGTCCAGCAGACAGCCGCTTCACTCCTGAATCCTGCAGGTCGTTGTTACTCAGGTCCAGCTCTCTCAGACTAGAGGACTGGGAGCTGAGGACTGAGGACAGAGCTTCACAGCTACTCTCTGACAGCTTACAGCCACTCAGCCTGGGGAAGGATTAGCATTGAACACAATTTATTTTATTTATCATTTTTGAAACTGATCAATGTTGTTTGTATCTCCACTTACAGAGCTTTCCTGGAGGCTTTGACCACTGGCAGCAGCCTCAGAAGAGCCTTCTCTGAAGCAGAGTATTTCTTCAGGTCAAAGACGTCCAGATCTTTTCCTGATGACAGTAAGATGAAGACCAGAGCTGACCACTCAGCAGGAGACAGTCTATCTTCAGAGAGACTTCCTGAACTCAGGTACTGTTGGATCTGCTCCTCTAGAGAACTATCATTCAGTTCATTCAGACAGTGGAACAGGTTGATGCTTCTCTCCGGAGACGGGTTCTCATTTATCTTCTTCTTGATGTACTCAACTGTTTTCTGGTCGATCTCTGAGCTACTTCCTGTTTCTGTCAGCAGGCCATGTAGGAGTTTCTGATTGGTCTGCAGTGAAAGACCCAGGAGGAAGCGAAGGAACAAGTCCAGGTGTCCGTTTGGACTCTGTAAGGCCTTGTCCACAGCACTCTGGTAGAGATGTGTTAGTGTTGGTTGAGGTCTGAATACTTGAAGCAGCCAGGAGATTGTTGATTCTTCTGCCAGCAGGTTGACTCCAGAGTTGATGAAGGTCAGATGGACATGAAGAGCAGCCAGAAACTCCTGAACGCTCAGATGGACGAAGCAGAACACCGTGTCCTTGTACGGTCCGCTCTCCTCTCTAAAAACCTGTGTGAACACTCCTGAGTACACTGAGGCTTCTGTGATATCGATGCCACAGTCTGTCAGGTCGTGATCATAGAAGATCAGGTTGCCTTTCTGCAGCTGCTCAAAAGCCAGTTTTCCCAGAGCCTCTGTCATCTTCCTGGTCTCTGGACTCCAGTGTGGATCTGTCTCACTTTTTCCATCATACTTGACGTTCCTCAGTTTGCATAGAATCACCAGGAAGTGGATGAACATCTCAGTCAGGGTCTTGGGCAGTTCTCCTCCCTCTCTGGTTTTCAACACTTTCTCCAGAACTGAAGCAGAGATCCAGCAGAAGATTGGGATGTGGCACATGATGTGGAGGCTTCGTGAGGTCTTGATGTGGGAGATGATGGTGTCGGCCTGCTTCTTATCTCTGAATCTCTTCCTGAAGTACTCCTCCTTCTGTGGGCCAGTGAACCCTCGGACCTCTGTCACCATGTCCAGACACTCAGGAGGGATCTGATTGGCTGCTGCAGGTCGTGTGGTTATCCAGATGCGAGCAGAGGGAAGCAGCTCCCCCCTGATGAGGTTTGTCAGCAGCACATCCACTGAGGTGGACTCTGTGACATCAGTCAGGATGTCAGTGTTGTGGAAGTCCAGAGGAAGTCGACACTCATCCAGACCGTCAAAGATGAACACAACCGAGAACTGATCAAACCTGCAGATTCCTGCGTCTCTGGTTTCAGTGAAGAAGTAATGAACAAGTTCCACCAAGCTGTAATTTTTCTTCAGCCTATTCAGCTCTCTGAAAGGTAATGGAAATGTGAACTGGATGTCCTGGTTGGCTTTGCCTTCAGCCCAGTCCAGAGTGAACTTCTGTGTTAAGACTGTTTTCCCAATGCCAGCCACTCCCTTTGTCATCACTCTGATTGGTGCATCTCTTCCAGGTGAGGATTTAAAGATGTCTTCTTGTCTGATGGTTGTTTCTGGTCCGTCTGGTTTCCTGGATGCTGTTTCAATCTGTCTGACCTCATGCTCTTCAGCTGTAGGTTCTCCCATGGTGATGTAGATCTCCGTGTAGATTTCATTTAGAGGTCTTGAATTACCCGTTTTTATGATTTTCTTCACTTTGAATTTGAGGTTCCCTTGGCACTGAATAAGACTCTCTGAATGAATCTCTGAATGAATCTCTGAATGAAGAAAAAAAGAAATCTCTCAATTGAAACAATGATACTTTCCACATAAAATAACCATCACAAGTTTGTTCCTAATTTAAAAAATTTCTGACAAGACAGTAGATTATTTTCCTTGGATCAAGACGCCGTATCTTGTTGCTTTCCAAAAATGTTTCTTCGAAAAAAAATATTTTCGAAACCAGAATGAACAATCTGTTGGAGGAGCCAGGCATGGAGGGAGGTGGCAGAGACAGTGGGTGAAACTGTTAGGTTTTCGCCTGTTTGGGGAGTTTATATCCAGTTTACTTCGTTTGAATGGACAGCAGGCATAGACAGTATATTTAGCCAGTATGCAATGTTGCATAAAATAGCACCATAGACATTAATTAAAAATCGCTTTTTAGACATTGATGTCTATGGTGAGATTCATACATGGGAGCCTTTTTAAAGCCTTTTTACCCCCGCTGCAAACAGAAACCTCCCCCCCCCCTTCCCATCACAAACTTTACACAGACCCCTCCTTCCAATTATCAACTCCTGTCTTGTTTCCGCAAACTCTTGTGTCCTGTGCAGCTAAAAGTTTTGCAAGCCCCCGTTCGTTTAGTACCTAAAATAATAGACATCGCTTTTTCCAGCTGACAAACCCAACTTTCTGGTCACTTCTTCCATTTTCCAGCCCTTGGGGAGAGACACGGGAGATTCATGTGATTGGTTGTTGGTCGCGTTGCTCGCGTTAACTCCCCAAGCTCAAGACACGCCCACCGCCAAGCGGCAACGCACGCCGCCGTGTGTAGGGGCCGTAATCCCTATCCAGGAGTTTTTTTCCAGAGCCGGTTCAATGTGCAGAGGTGAGCCCAACTTTGTCTAGTTAGTCCTGCTCCAACACCGGATCCGTCCACAGCAGAGAGGTGACGGCTGTTTGAAGTTTGTATACCATGTTCCTCTTCACCTACAACCCAACTAGCATTGATTGGACCCTTAGACCCAGTTGTGTGTAGACCCCGGTGCCTGGCTGCAGGATGAGGACCTGGTCTGCCTAATAGGGTTGCTTTTTTTGTAAGTAGCTGATCTAAAAAGTGACACTGCCAGAAACTATTGACCCTGACCACTGAGCTTTCAGGGCCATGGGGGTACCTAATCCCTGACACCGTGAGCAGGTGGTGTTTCTCTGTGTGGTATATCAGGAGGACACATCCAATCCATGTTATCATTGTGATTTGCCTGACCTCAGGTTCCCTATTTGTAAAACTATTTGTTAACTAATGACTTACCTGTCGGTTCTGATGGAATTTCTGATAATTTCTCCTCCAGAAGATTCTGATTCATCTCCTTCAAAACGTTTCTGGTCACTTCAATAGTGTTAATGCCGTAGTTCAGAAACATATGGTCCACAGTTTGCGTCCGACTTGCATCCTCTAGTCGACTCTTTGGGATTCCTTCAAATCCTAGGACCTTCAGCTGCAGGTGCCACTTGAATTCTTCAAAGTCCTCTTTCCCCAATTGTTCTAAAGTTCTGAAGAGGATCTTTTTCAGAGTCGCCATATTTTCTCCCTGCAGAGATCCAAAAGATACCAACAGAAAATATTATATAATCTTACATCTGAAATAACATGGGTTCATGCAAAGAAATACTTTCTTCGTTTTTCAGCAACAATACTATTTATTTTAAGGCAAATAAACTACTACTCCAGGTCCAGGTTCAGGTTGAAAAAATTGAAATGGCCCTTGAGAGGAAAAATGTTCCCCACCCCTGTTCTAGATCATGGTAAATTAAGAAAACGTCATAGGCCACACCCACATTATTAAATCACCACGATACATGAGATCTTATTTAATACTCGCCCCCAGAGCATGTATTTATAATTTTCTTAATTTCTGTTAGAAAGTTACACATTTGTGTTGATCTTAGCGGCCCCTCTGGGTCGGTATCAAGTTTGAACATATGCAATGAGGCATGAGCATTTATTTCCATTTCGATTTATGGTGGCCATGTTTTTTGACTGATCTTGCTCATTTTGAAGAGTAATGTGTATGACTGTCCCCGGATGTTTTATACAAAGTATTGTGTTGAGAGATTCAAAATGGAAAAGTTTGTAGTCATTAAACTGCTTTCACATTATGCTAATGAGCAACACATCTGAGTGAGCGGAGCCTGGTAGTTATTTTTGTAAAGCGTCTTCAGCTCAATGTGTGGACCACATTTCAAGTCAATCTGACTTTTGATGCGAGTTGTGTGGCCCTCTTGTGTGGCCTCGTGGCGCTAGAGAGCCTGCTGGTCATGTCAGAATGCATTCACTACAGGACCTCAGAACTTTTACCATTCCTGACGTCTGTGCAATGTTTTACAAATCTGAGCATGATGAGTGCCTCAACAACTTACCTGGACAGGCAGCAACATTAAGAGATCTATGGAGACATCTCTCAAGACCCATATGAAACAGAACTGTATATATTTCAACAGTCAAGAAACCATTAGAATATGACCACAACCAATAACATAGCAAAGCCAATAACACATGATTATTTCTCTCTCTCTCTCTCTCTCTCTCTCTCTCTCTCTCTCTCTCTCTCTCTCTCTCTCTCTCTCTCTCTCTCTCTCTCTCTCTCTCTCTCTCTCTCTCTCACTGTATGTTTGGTTTTCTGTCCTATAGTATTTCATACCTGTTATTATAATAATACTATAATAATTATATAAAAGTGTACCTTGGAAATACTTGTTTACCTAAATGGTGACCAAACCACTGATAACTGAGCCTCTCAGTCTGACAGGACACACACACACACACACACACACACACACGCACACACGCACACACACACACACACACACACACACACACACACACACACACACACACACACACACACACACACACACACACACACACACACACACACATTCCCTTTAATTGAACTATTCATATCTCACACTGCACTGTAACTGTTATTCATGTATTTATACCTGTGTTGTTCTATATTAGCTTGTTGTATGTTTATTCAATTCTCTTTGCTTTTGAATGACTGTTTTGAAACGCCATTTTATAATGTGTTTCCACTGCACTATTTCTTAATGCTCTTAATGTCTTTCATTTTAGTAACAGACTCCTGTGGGAGGGTCCTCACCTGCTGAGCTCTCTTCAGGTCCACAGAAACATGGCTGATCTCGTCCTCCTCAGTCCTGGTTCTGCCTGCTATTCCCTTATATCTCCTTTTATTCAACAGTTTGAACACCAACTGTCAGATGTGACTTCCGTGAAACAGGAACTCGGTACTTCCGCTCTGAGTCTCAGAGGAAATGGGGGGGAGAGGGGGGGGGGGGGTTGAAGTGCTCTAGTAGTTTTCCACTCAGGAGGAACTTGTACACAAAGAGAAACGTATGATATGAGAGTGAGGTCTATGTCTTCAGCACTGACTGTCATTATATCTGTTTTATTCACCCACATGCCTTTGCTGATAAATACTCTGTTTCTAAACTGAGTTGTTCTCAGGACTGCAAATATTCACTTCAGAGTGACTGAGCCCAGTCAGTGTGAGAGGGGGTGTAGTTAAGATAAGATAAGACTTTATTCATCCCGAAGAGAATTGTTGTGCCAGAGTAACAAAAATACAATAAACACAGCAGCAAAACTGTACACTAAAAGTGCAGTAAAAAGAGCAATTAAACATCTACAGAAAACATGAAATATAGAAACATAGATAGTTCTGCTAGCTGTCCACTAGATGCTGCTAACTGACCCTCCAATGAAACACAGGTCAGGTCAGTGTTACCCCTCGATTCCACCAGGTCCTCCATTCCACCACAGCCGTAACACGGCCGTAAGGAGACGCAGACAGGGTTAGAGGACTCTCCTGCTGATGTTCAGGTGTATATCAGTATGTAGTGTCTCTACTTTAAAGAGTCCTCTCCTGCTGATGTTCAGGTGTATATCAGTATGTAGTGTCTCTACTTTAAAGAGTCCTCTCCTGCTGATGTTCAGGTGTATATCAGTATGTAGTGTCTCTACTTTAAAGAGTCCTCTCCTGCTGATGTTCAGGTGTATATCAGTATGTAGTGTCTCTACTTTAAAGAGTCCTCTCCTGCTGATGTTCAGGTGTATATCAGTATGTAGTGTCTCTACTTTAAAGAGTCCTCTCCTGCTGATGTTCAGGTGTATGTCAGTATGTAGTGTCTCTACTTTAAAGAGTCCTCTCCTGCTGATGTTCAGGTGTATATCAGTATGTAGTGTCTCTACTTTAAAGAGTCCTCTCCTGCTGATGTTCAGGTGTATATCAGTATGTAGTGTCTCTACTTTAAAGAGTCCTCTCCTGCTGATGTTCAGGTGTATATCAGTATGTAGTGTCTCTACTTTAAAGAGTCCTCTCCTTCTGATGTTCAGGTGTATATCAGTATGTAGTGTCTCTACTTTAAAGAGTCCTCTCCTGCTGATGTTCAGGTGTATATTGTTAAGGAATATTTCTTCTAGATATCTAACCTTTTGCTCTGTGACCGGTCAACTTGACTGGCACGAAGGGTAATTGTTGTGAGAACACTGAGGCACTTCTTTATCGGTGTTTGTGGGCTCTAGGATGTGAAATCCTTGAGGCCATGAGCGTCGGACGCAGGTGACTCAGTGTTTAGTCTACTCCTTCAGAGATGTTGATTTCTCTCTGTGAACCTGTTAAAAGGTCTAGCATAGAGAGAGGTTCTTCAGAATTGACGTGGCAACTCTACCGTGTGGTCAGAACCTCTGACTCTTTGATTTGTGATGTGAATCCTCCGGCCAAATACTCTGAATAAACCCATCAGTGTTTGACATCAAAGCTCCAACTCTCACCGTGTCTCCTTCCTGAGTCGGTGACTCCATGCATTACTACACAGAAGTTTCCTCCACAAATTGGCGTTGTCGGCAGGATACCAACAGATCTTCAGAGACTGGTAAGTGTGATTTCAAATCTACATTTGGACATTGCCTTACCAGAATCTGTGATTGACGGTATCCTAAAATTATCTGTGAAGCTAAGCGGCTGCGTTTCGTTTTGGTTAATGAACATTTGGGGCTAGTAACCCCAGGGGATCATCCAGGGACTCTGTCTTGGCTGGTTCCCTCTGTGTGTGCTGCTCGGGACGTATGTGCCGTGCAGGCATACACGGAGATGTTTAAAAAGACCTTAATGAGGGCAGCAGTAAAGTGGAACTTCTGTGTGAAATCAAAATAGAGATTTGTAATGAACAAATCGCCGAGATTCCGGGGGTTTCAGCGGCCAACACTAGCAGTTAACGAAAGCAGCCAGAGATATTACCCCCAGCGCCTCTAAAAAAAACACGGCTCCAGCTGCGGCTCCGGGGAATGTGTGTAACATACCTCCCCGTATCTGCATGGGCTGGTGAAGTGAACTCAGAGGGAGAAAATCACAGCTTTTGTCTGTAGCTTTAACTCACACCACCGCCGTCTCTATTAAAAACGAGACGGTTTAAAAGCACTCTCGTGGCTTGTGGCCGTTTACGACGTGCTGGCCGGTGCGAGGTGCGTGCATTACCTGATGCGACAGGCTCCCTACATTGCTGGAGGAGTTGGTGTCGGTCCGGGGTGCATACATAAAATTATAGGCTAATTGATCATGGGTGGGTAGTGGTATGCAAGTGTAGAGCAAAACTGTGTTTCATCGTTGGGATGAACATGATGGGAGGTGTGTAGGCTGGTCGAGTAGGACTACAGTTAACTGTGTGGTTTCGGATAGAAAGGGTAGAGGAAAAAAGTCTATGTGCTCCAGATCGGGGGGGCATAGCACCACTAGAGCAGGGATAGTGGGGTCGCAAGAGGATAAGCTAGTTATTGCTCTTGGACGGTCTTCAGGCACCGATCTAAGGACTTGTATACAAGGGTGGAGGCACGAGTCAAGGTGCCCCACTGGGTTCCCATTGGGAGAGATCATATAGTCCCTACCCCCTCTGAAACCTCTTTAATCCGGACTAAATTGAGCTGGATGAACTTTGCTGTCGCATTGTTGTTTATTACGAGTTCATCATGTTTGTTTGTCTGATTGTTTGTATCAGGGGTCTATATTGGTTTGTCTAACCGCTGTCTTGTGCATGTTTTGTAACAACTAATAATGAATCAGTCCATAGCCAGGGTAAAATAAACTAAGCTTTAGTTAACTCACCAAAAGTAAATGACTTGAGAAAGATAAATAATATATAGTGTTTTGCAAAATTCTGGTAGTATAGATGTGCTGCAAAATGAAAATAAATAGCAAAAGAGTGTTTTATGTCCTGCATCTGAGTGTGCAGAGGAAACGTAAACAAGAAGCACACTGTTCAGGGTGTGCGCTGCATCTGAGTGTGCAGAGGAAACGTAAACAATAAGCACACTGTTCAGGGTGTGCGCTGCAGGTGTAAGAAGAAGAGAAGATTATATTACTTTAAGAATACATTCTTAAATTGTATTGCTGGTATGTTAAGATATGTTTGTGACCTTTTATAAACCCTATGCCCCGTCCTGCACCCTGAGACCCTAAGAGGCATCACTGCTGGTCGTAAAAAACCCTGCCTGAGGAGATCAGGGTTGCAAAATCTGTCTGCTGTTTTAGGTCAATATTGTATTATTTGTTTCATTTATTCTTAAATCTATGTATTGTATGGTAATAATGAGAAAAAAACGTAATGTATTGAACACATTCCGAAACAAAGCTGATAAGACAGAACTTGACTCAGACATAATAAAAATTATTGTTGAAACATTTTGCGCTGTTGCTGCAAAATGGAAACTTTGTTGATTATCTGTTCCAACTGGCCACTGGAATCAGATAATTAATATAAGTTGAAGTTTTAATTACAGTTTTAAATATAGTTTAACATTCTTTATTAAACTGCTTCAAATGATTTCTCGTATCAACCAATTGGTCTCCATAGACATTACTAAAATTCTAATAGTTCTGAAACCGAGCTTATGAACAAAAGAGTAAAGGTCGCTGGTTAAGCCAGGATCAATATATTTGTTGACGTTTTCATTACAGTGTGCATAATAAATGTGTTAAATGAATTGAGCAATTCTTTAAAAAGTATAATGTTGCAATCTCTTTACAATAAGTAATTACAGTTAAAAAAAATAGATGTTGTTTTCCAAGGGCCTCTCCTTCACAGGCCTACACTTTAAATCATGAGACTTTCAAATCATAACAGACAGAGATCGGTATCACTTTGTGTTGCAAGCCAAATCCATGTAAAAGTTCTACGTGAGCCCAATTTAAATACCATAAAGAAAGTATTGAACCCAGCTCAAGCTAAATGTCAAATGTATTTCATTAATGTACAGGTGTTTTGATTTATTTAACATGTTCCAGTCTAGCTTCTTTCGAGTTCAGTCTAAGCAACAAATTGTTTCTCATAACATTCTCACTGCTGTCCCAAATGTTTTAACCTTGGGCAGACAAGCTGTTCACACACCCACACATACCCACACACCCACACACTTTGGATAAGTAGTCACCTTATCCACATTGTAAATTGTTGCCTTCTTTAAAGTTATTAGTAATTTAAGATTAATTATTAAATTAAATGTGGTACATAAGATAAAATAAATAAAATAACTTTGACTTGATCATTTTGTTCACAACATTAGACCTGTCCTCTAATCTCTACTAGAATAAGATAAGTGTGCATGTTTGGATGTTTTATCACTCCTGTAATGTACCTAATCTTGATATCCTTTTCATTACAGAGCTGGGAAAATGGTGTATTGATTAGATTCTGATCCGTGCACGTCCAATTTTGACTGACTTTAGTTTTAATGTTAATTTGACTTCAACCCATAAGTAATTATTTGAATTAACTCTAAATTTCACATGATGATGGATTAGTGTTCCACATTTCTTCCACTAATTTGTTTTACAATTAGGCCAAAGGTAAAGAGAGACATTGATGACCTTGTGTCCCTTTTGTTAGTACGTGGTTCCATTTTGTCTATGGCCTTGGACGGCTTCACTAAAAGTCACCCAGTTCTGCCCTGCTGCAGTCCGGCTGAGTGCAGTCACAGAGATGCTATGGCTGCTCTACATGACATTAATGGTCTGGTCTGAATGGACACCATTTCCTGCTCCCAGAGAGAATGACACTCCTCAAACTGAACATTACAGCCGTTGATACTGTCTCACATGGGTCTGCTCCCCCCCACTGAGCCATGAACTGAAAGCATGACATCTGCTATGAACACTTGGAAGCCTCCCTGTCACACCAGCACCAACCCTTGGGTCAGTCAGAT